TTCATTGTCTTTCCATCAATACCTGGTGGGCCGGTCTCGGCTCAAAATGCCCGGGCTGATTTTTTGTCCCAGTCCAGCCCTGTCTGTAGGTCACATAGAGACTGTTTTAAAGTCAGATAAAAACTCCTTGTATGTTTAAATACAGTCCTTCAACCTGTGCATCCTGCACTAGATTTAAACCCTTTTTACGTTTTAGAACAAGATACCACTTGAACAGACTTATGTAAAACAACCTTTTATTAAATTCATAATAATCATATTCACAAAAACAAAATGTTACCCCAATTGATCACAAATATATCAGCGGCTTTAACAATTACAGGATGAGATTATGTACAACATCAAGAGGATTTAAAGATAATGTGGTCAGACTGTAAACACATCTATACTGTTTAATATCAGAGTTTAATAAGAATATGTGTCAGAAGACAACTACAATTCCCACAGTGCATTGCTGCAAGAGTTATCCAATCGGAGTTGTTGCCATGCAGAAAATGAAATATTTTGGTTTTTTTCTCTTTCATTTCAAGTTTTCTTGGAGCTCCATCTGGTGTCTGTTTGAGGAACTGCGGCTTCTATGGTGTTTCAGCTGCGCCCCCTTCAGGCTGAGGCCGTTACTGCAGCTCCAGTCTTAGTCATAGTAGTATTAGTCATATTAGTGACAGTAGTGGGAGCAGTAGCAGATTTGTATATAATGGTAGCAGAAGTTCTCACAGTAGTAAAAGCAGTAGTAGTACTTAGAGATTGTCAAATATTATTGTTTAACTGGAGAAAAACACTTGGGGCATGTATTAAGTATTGTTCACCAAGTACCACAGTACTGTAGTAGTAGTAGTCGTGCACAAAGTACTGGAGCTAATCAATTTACGGTAACTATTATAGTACTCAGATTTATACTTGTCTTTTTGCTCCTACAAAAGAAGTTTAAGAATTACTATTTTAGTGTTAATAGTAATCCTGCTTCTTGCACTGCTTCTGTAGGAGTGAGTACTACTACTAAGTAGTAAACTAATGGTACTCATAGTAGAAGTACAGTTCTGTCAGATGAGTTTACAGATGAGTCCACTTTATTTCTTACTGCAGTACATTTATTTGTTACTTTGAGGTACATTAAAATATAAACGTACTCATTACATCAGGTGCTGGTTGCAGTTTAATCTGATCTCTTATGAAGTACTTTTACTCTAAAAGGAACACATCTGCAGAATGTGTACTTTTACTGGATACTCGTAACATTTTACTGCTAGTACTTTTGGTAACAGTAAAATTAGTTTTGACACTGAGGCGTTGTTACCTTTATTAGTATTAGTACGTAATAGTAGAAACAGTTGAAGTAGTGATTGCGGCAAAACTCTGAAGATGCAAGAAAATACAGGAAGAGATAAATGGTATCTCATTGATTAGTGATCAAACTGTTGATCAGAGGTGTCAGCTAATAAAAAATGAGGATTTTCTCCTATTTAATATATTAATTATGAAGTTGAAATGTGTTTGTAATCAGCAAAATTTTAAAGTAAATTCAGACGATTTACAGGAGCTGAAGTCACGAGACGTTTTATAGGTCTTTGTATTGGTCGATACTGCGACACATCACTGCTCATTAGCATAAAATAATCTCTCTTAACCTTCACTGCTGGTGTGAGTACACAAGAGCAGAAGTAGCACCATTATCAGTAGTAGTAATATCAGTAGTATTATCAGTAGTATTATCAGTAGTATTATCAGTAGTATCAGTATTCAGTGTTTACAGTTGCTTCATACAGACTCGACAGCGGCTGATCAGACTGCCGGGAAACACTCCGGTATCGGTCTGAGGCTTCGGCTTACTGCAGGACAAGAGAGAGAGAGATCGTTATCAGGTGAGTTTATTAAATAAAACTTGTTTAGTATTTTTCTCTCCCTCATGTCCCCTCAATTCAAACTAATTTAGTTAGTTATGGAGCTGGTGTATACTGCCCTAGTTCTGTCTCGCTCTATCGATTGTAAACTGCAGTAACTACAAAATCCAACCAAAAACCAAACTGCAGTAAGTGCAGTCACTGCGCTCTCCCTCGCTGTCTCTGAGCTTTGGCTGCAGTTACTGCAGCTTCAGTGTCAGTAAATCCTGAATTCTGGACAATTTCAGGACAATGTGGGGTTTAAAACAAGTTCTCCACTGGGAACTCTGACTGA